CACTTGCCCCCTGTCGCATCCTGAATTTCAATACAATGTACGCCAATTTTTGCTGCAAATAATTCGCAAGAGTGAACACCGACTCCTCCCACTTCATGTTCCTTCCCGGTCCATATTGTTTCGGGCTCACGTCTCGTTACACGAACGACTGTTCAATTTCCAGGAGACCATGCGTGAATTCTCCTTGAACCCAGGGAGAGTCCCTTCGTGCCCCTGCAAATCATTCTTGCCTAGACACCCCCATTTGGAAATGCATAATGGGCACATTGCTTCCCCAGCCGAGTTCTTGTCGATATCTCCGCAGCTTAAAGCCATACTTCAGTACAGCGCAGCCTCGCAAATTTTACCCTCCAAGCGCACATATTCAGAAGAATTCCGCAAAGATGTCGCCCGCTGGGCTGACAAGCACTGTTTAAACATGGATGATGCTGCCACCCACGACTTCTTGGAAGGTCAGTGGCCACTGCACTTGAACACCGTACATGAGGACTGCATCACTTGGCAGGCTGTTTCATCTTTGCGACAACAGCTACAGGGCTTGACTATTCATTGTCAGGATCATCAACCTTTTCGTACTATGCTGTATTGCCCGTTACTATATTACAATGCAGTGAAGGCCACTTTCACTGAGACCACGATTTTTGAACGCGTGTCTATCCCGCCAAGCAAAGCTCAGGATCTTCTGCACACCCTCATTCCCGATTCTTTGCTTCAGCGATACCCTTGGGCCTTTCGATTGGATTTGGACCTACCACGAGGATATACCTTGCTCAAGCACAAGAAATCTTTTGCTATTGGCCGTTCTATTGTTGCTTACAGGAACACTCCCCTTGCCGCTGCCCTTAAAGCCTGTGCTTTCGTCGTCCAAGCTGTTTCACGTATTGCTTTTCCTGCATCATTGGACCCCGGCCAAAATGTGGACATTTGGAGCAGCATCCGTCATTTCTTTGAGTCCATCTCGGATGACGCCCGCATCGTTCTACGCAATGATGACATCATCGGATTCTTCAATTCTCTTCCACAAAGCCGAGTGTTAGCATCCTGGCGCGAAGCCAAGCAACGCTATTTGAGACAACACGCCGGACCCCCTGACCTCACGTTTTCAATTGACTTGTCCACAACTCACTCGCAGTTTCGCATGTATAGGGGCAAAGGCCTCCTTCGAACAATTCGCCTTGATGATATCGACCTTTTCATTTCCACTGCTTTTACAGCTAGCATTTTCCTCACCCTGGGACAGGTTTATCGGCAGACTAGAGGAGCCACAATTGGCAATCAGCTTTCTCCTGCATTGTGTGCCCTAGCGATTGCCCATCGGGAGCAGATTTGGACTGATTCTTTTCAGCAGTTTTTGCATAGCCAACGACACCTTTTCTGTTTTACCCGATACGTCGACAACAGAATGCTATTGATTCACGCCGACATTGCCAACTCGCCCCCTTTCCAATTTCTATTCCGGGACACTTTTTACATACCTCCTGTTTTGATCGAGCCCGTGAACGATGATCACTATTTGGGTTTCCGCATACTCCATCGTCTTCGACAGGTCAGATTCATCATGCCGCATGCCAAATGGCAGGTTCGTCACCCATATAGCACGGCTACACGAGCCAACAGATTTTCCGGTTATCTATCTCGTGTTGCGCTGATTCGCAAGTATACTTTCCCTCGGTCCTTCATTACCACGGACATTGCTGTGTTGCAGGATTTTTACCAATCCCATGGTTTCACCCTTCGCGAGTTACAGGCTGCGACCTCTCGTCGGTCTACTTTTTAGGTCAACCCTGCGACGCTGGTCAAAATAGATTTCTCACTTACTGCACGTCGCTCATTGTTCATTGTTCTGTGACTTCTTGATTCTTCGGCCATTTAGGCTCATGTTTTGAGTAATCCACTTCCCCCGCCGTCCGCCCCCCCCCTCCCCCCCCTGACCGCCAAGTTAATACATCTGAGACGGGTTTGCTGCAACTCTGCCAGCAGCTCAGCCTAATTCGAGACGCCGCCTCCGCAAACATTGCCGTGCTGGACCAAATGTTTTAACAACCCGTTCTCGAGATGAACCCTCGCTGAAATTCGATCAGCCCTCGCCCAAATTCGAAGAGCCCGATCTGCCCACTGTGGCATCCGCAGTACAAACCACCTGCAGAACCAGGTTTGTCAAAATCCGTGGAATTCATGCACGCCAGCAGTGAACGGGTTTGCGGCGGTTGCCCCAGACCAGGTGGCTTTCAGCTACGTTTGTCGTGAACGGCGTTACTGACCTATCGGTTCACAGCGGACATCAGTGGACGCATTCGCCTGACGCACAGAGGTTTGCGGCGGTTGCCCCAGACCAAGAAGCTTTCAGCTACGTTCGTGTATGTACCCCGATTTGTCAAATCCGTGCAATTCGTGCATGCCGGCAGGGGGCAGCCGGAAGAGTATGTGGGCGGCTGCCAACGAAGACCCCACATACTTTTCGTGAAACGTACCTGCCTGAGAGCTGCTCCTGGGTCCCGTCGCGGGCAGCTGGAGGGCTCACCCCTAACAATCGCCCTTAAGGCCACTGACTTTGCACGGTTCAGTGCTAACTTGCAACATTTCATCTCATGTTTACGTGTTTGAACGTTTGGTGTTTGACTGCCGACGTGGCATTCCCAGTGTGTGTGTGTGTGTGTGTGTGTGTGTGTGTTTGTGCCAGTGTTGCTAGTTTCCCGTGCACCGTCTGTGTGTGTGCTGTACGTATTTGTGCGCGTTGTAATTTAGGACGATGCCTGGGATCGTCAAAACCAGGGCCACAAACCTCTGACAAAGTTGCCTGAACACGAACAAAAACTGTGGAGTTGACCCGTGAACATCGGTTTTTGGGTCTAAGTATCTAGTCATGGCCCCAGAACGTCCATCTTTCTGTTCTAGCAAATTTGACACGTGTGTGTACCGGGGGCGTGTTTGCTGGCAGGCCTACGCCACGTACGCGTGTGAACTTTCGAGTTTCCTGATTTCTTCTTTGGGATCACTCCAGGCTCGTGAATGCGCAACACGATTGCAAGGTTTTCGGGCTTCAATCAGCTCAACAAAATTGAAGCTCAGTCGGCTCTCTTAAGTGCGTGCACGCTGCCCTTGCCACTCGTCCACTTAAGAGCAATAAACTCCTCCGGAATCATATATATGACATGTAGAGCTTAAGGCCAGACCTGTCACCTTGTGAGGTTCGCCCCTTCACTGGAAGGATCTTCAGAATGACACACCCATCAAAGAACAAAAAATGGCACAAACTTGCGTGAGACGCCGAACGGTCTTGCAGTTGGGCGCGGTGCCTTGTTGTTTCTTGCGGTGCTCACCAGCTCTGTTCGCCTCATCTCAGGCTGATGACCACCATGACTCCGCCGCCAAAACTCTAAGTGCCTTGCCAATATCACGCGCATTGGTGTGGGGCAAGCGCTTGAGGCGTTCCCACTTCAGTCAACTCAAGAGGCGCACACAGTGTAAGCTATTATGGCCCATAGACATCAGCAAAATTGTAGCCTGTCTGCGTGCAGTCTTTCAACTTCTTGTTTGACTTGATCCACAGGATGTTACTCTCTTTGCTGAATCGAAAACTCTTGAAGCGGACAGTGATACGGACATGCTGATTGTTTGGCACACCAGGGCCGGCGTTGTCAAACCCCCATCCTGACAAGTGGTCGATCAAGATTGGTTCGCAAGTGTCGATAAGGACCTCGGCTTGGACATCTATGCCTCTTGGCGCATACATGTAAAAAGCGCAAGGCCTCGACTTCCCTTTGGCATTGCTGCTTGCATGAGCGCCAGGGTCGAACTCAAAGAGGCATGTTTGCCCTGCCACCTCGAAGGACGGAGATGAAATCCATTGCTGCCCGCTGGTTTTCCGAAGTTCAATCCTTGCCGCACTGATGGTCCAAAACACTTCCGACGTTCGGCAGGATCTAATCTCGTCCTGCAACTCATGCACTTTGATCGCCTGGCTGACCGTGAGTTCTTCCATGGCAAGTGTCAATCGATGGTGCAGCAAGGCGGCCTTGAAGTTCCAGCAGCTGCTGCAGCGTTCTGCCGGCAGATTCCTCAGGCAAAGGGCTTGCCAGGCTCCAGCGCTCTCCAACTTTGCGTGAAGATACCTGCAAGAAGCATCCAGGCCGCAGATCTCCGCAGGTTCCAAAAACGAAAAGCTGCGCCAAACCGCTGCCACCGGACTCGGCAACATGCGCCCCAAGTCGAAGCAGTCATCGCTCACGCGCCACCTCCGCATCGCTTCCTCTAGCTTCTTGCATCGCAGATTCGCCTCGGCCAAGTCTGCCGTCACCATGGCATTCACGACCCGCAGGTCATCCATTTCCTCGCAGCCCAGTGGACTTCCATGGAAAAAGACAAAAGGGCATGCGCCTTTGGCTAGTTGACATTTTTTGAGGGAACTGCCCCAGACAAAAAGGGAAACAGCGTGCCTGAAAGGCAACCCCCTCCCAAAAGCAAGAAGAGGAAACGAGGTGCCACTGAAAGGGACACACCTCCCCCCCGACAAAAGACGCACAGAAAACTATGTAAAGCAACCCTCTGGGCAACTGGGATTTCCTGCTCCAACACAGCCAGGCGGACGCGCAAGGCTGGCCCATCGGCGGCATCCTGCAAAATCTCGGCGAGAGGTCGGCTGAGATCCACGCCAGCCATGACAGAAGGGGCAGCTAAAATGCGGTGCTTGGCTTGGTCCAACATGCCTATGGCAGGCCTGGGTACCGAATGAACAAAGGCGAAGACGAACATGGGATCTGAGTGATTTCTGCTCAAGGAATATTCTCGCAGGTTGCTCCTGCTTTTTGGGTACTCAAAAAGCAAGCCAGGCATCCTTGAATCTAATTGAATTTGGTCCAAATGATGCTCATATGATGCTCAACATGGCCACAAACAAGGCCCAACTTGAGTGCTCAAGCCACTCAGCAAGTAGAGCATCCAAGCATCAAGTAGTTTTGTCAACCCACCTGAGCCTAATCGCCGTTGGACTTTGTCCAGTCCTTTGGAGGCCAATTCGATGTCGTCGTCACTCACGCAAATCACCTCCACCAAGATCCGCACGCCGTCCTGACCGTGTGCCCGGACCAAAAAGCAAACCGGAAATACGGCAACCCAAACAAATCAAAAGGGAAATTATCTGACGGGAGAAAGCGAAAGACATCTCACGGTAGAGATGGGAAGAAACTGATCAGGGGAGTTTCACCAATCAATTGGTGTGTCTTAAAAATAGGGGACCCCAACAATGGTGGTGTTTTCTCCTTGACCCCAAGCCAGAAATGGTGCCCTCAAAAACGAAAACACACCCAAATTGGCGAAAAGGAACAAGCAGGTGAAGCTTTTGTCATGTTCTGACTTGCATCATCTCACTGCCGAGAATGGCCCAAAACAAGTCTGAACTTGCGGTTTACCACCAAATGGGTGTCTTTTTTGTGGGACCTCAGAATGCAAAAAGTTGGGACAGATCCTGAATCCAAGGTTTCTATCAAATGGGCTCTAGGATGCTTCTGGCAAGCAATCAGAATCCGTCTTCTGCAACCCCTTTAAGGTCCCCCGACAACCAAAGCTTGGCCATCCAGCGCGTCACCTAGAAAACTCTTCATAAGGCCACGCCATGCGGATGTGATTCTTATTGTGACCCAAAACAAATTGCTGACATCGCTTAATTCCATGGGGATTCATGGTCATCCATCATGGCGGTGCCCGGTCAAAATTCATATCCCAGTTGGCTTCTCGGATCCAATAGACCCCGGCCCCGCAACGCGCCTGGCGAAAAGCTTCGCTCGCCAGCTCTGGGGCACACCTAGGGCTCTCTCAGAGCCCGCTCGCCGCGAAGTGAACGGGAACCCAAAACGGTTGGTGTCCTTTTGTTTTCCCTTTGATTAGCAAGTCAAAGGGTGCCCGGATCCGATTCTGAGAAACTGCCGTTTGGTGCACTCCCGTTCAATCCAGTGCACAGCGCTGCGAAATCTGGGTTGTTCAATAGGAACGAATTGAAACCCGTACACTTGTGCGATTTGAATCTATCACTTGGGCGTGATATCTCAGTGAAACTACGATGCAACCAGGAGAGTTGGCACCAACAAATTTAGCTCCCTAAGTGGCGTGTTCGCTGGTAGAAAGAGACATGAAGAAACACAAATTCAGCAAAGTACAAAAGATAAGCTAAGTCTGGTAATGTACCTATAGTAAGTCAGCTCTGTGAGCCCCCCCCCCCCCCCCCAATTTTTGAGTTGAAAGAGTGGTGCACAACTCAGAAATTGTATCGTAAGTGGACCCTGGCACAAACAGTATACTGTCGGCAGGGCAGAACCAACCTCAGACGAAGGGAGACTCTGTCCAAACTGGCAATCCAAAAGGTGATGTTCAAATCAACCTGGACCTCCAATGGATAATGGCAATTGGTGTTGGTGAGGCTGCCACGCACAATTCGCCCAAGGGATGTCCCCCAGCCAAAACCGATCATAAGGGAAACGCCTTGAGCAACCGCTTGAGAACCCCCAACCAACCTCTGCCCGAGCATTCGAGCGGCTGATTCTAGCCAAGGAGCAAGATAGCGAGCAGCTGCCTAGCTGTTGGGCACAGAACTTCCCTTTCCTGCAGGTGCTGTGGATGGACGAAATCCATTTCGCACCAACTTAAAACCATGGGAAACCATTTGTTTGTTGATATTTACAGGGGAATCATCGTTCCAGGGTTTCTTGGGTAGCGCAGGATTTCGTCCATCCAATTGCACTGTTTAGTGTTGTGTTTGTTCCACTACTGACATGTCTTCCGGTCATGATAATTTCTCTCTAGAACCACTGAGGAAAAAACAATTCAGCAACAAATCAAGCAGATGTTGCTGCTTTTGACAGTGCTTCCGGTGAGCATTTCTTTCGGTTATGATGTGCACTATTTGCTGATGGTGCTGCTAGAACAAATAATAGAACTCCTGCAGATCTTGCATGAATCCCTTCGTGGGACACCTTTCGATTCTGTGTTGCAGGCGTAGAACTCTTGACAATTCCTTTAACCCAAAGGAAATGGATTAAATCACCAAATCACCCAATCAAGATTCCCCCAGATTCGTCAATGGCTTAGTAATATGAATACACAATCTCCCAAACACAAGTTCAGAGTGCAAAGTTCCAACCCCAACCATCGCAATGGAAGGATCTCGGAGGACCCAAGGCCTTGGGCTTAGGCAATGGGCCACACAGAAACGGATTGGCAAGGATGCACATCGTTTCATGGGACACCATGCTCAAACTTGCAAGAAGTACTTTGCAACCATTAGTATGGCAGCAAACAACTGTGTTTTTTGCAGCTCCGGACTACAAATGAGCAGAGCCAAAAACCTGAAAAAAAATAAGTCAACTGACAGTAAACAGTAATTTCAGGAATGGCTGATGCTTAATGTGCTACAAAGATGCCTATGGCTGAGCCCTGCAGCTTTGGCCAAAGTGTTGTATGGCTAAAGAGCTTCACTATAACCCGCATTGGGCAAGTACACACCGGGCAAGCCGCTGCCCATTTGGGTTTGTCTCCGGATTGGGGAACCAACGAATAATGGCCAAAAAGAGAGCTACCCTCCAAAAAAGCACACCCATTTTGTCATTTTTAAGTCCTGTTGAAACCAAACCAAAAGGGGGTAGCCTGCAAAACACACACACACACACACTGCCTTGTGCCTCTCTTCCGCTCGCCTGAGATTCGGCTCCGCCAGCACCCTCGCCAGCAGTGGCTGTGGCTCCTCCAGATGCAGCGCGCTCAAATCCGGCGCCTGGCGGCACCCGCGGGGGCGCGGGATTCAGTGTACCTGAGGGTTGAGCCAATGGCATGAAACAATATCCCAAGACCTGACACTTTTTGGGGTCTTTGACCGACCTCCCATAGGTGTTTAAAAGATGGATCGAATGTGGAGCACACACGTGCCGCAAGGGTTTGGAAGCCAAGCAAACTTTTCACCTTCCGGGCCAATCCTGTGCCCAAGAACACGACATTAGAGGGGATCCGCCAGCGTGGTAGGGTGAAGTCTAAGAATTGGCTGAGTGCGGACCGAGAGGCTTTCAATGCAGCCCCTCACAAAAGCAGAAGCCTCTGCAGTCAACATGATCTCTATGATCCTCTTGTGCTAGGGGAGTCACTAAACCAGAAATCCGGGCTTTCCATGCGCCCGCCTCCCCCTCTAAGGAACAAAGCAACCTGAGCGGAGACCAAAACCCATTGACTTTTGATTGGGGATACTAAGATGGTCAGATTGCAATCAGATACAGGCCATAAATCAGGCAAGACCCGAAACACCCACTAAAATCGCCCTTGCAGGACTCGTTTTCTGCCAATTCTACCAAGCAGCTACTGTGGATGGTCGAAATCCTGCACCACCCAACAAAGCCTGGAATGATTCCTTTCCCCTGTAAATACTCACAAACAATGGTTTCAACCATGGTTTCAAGTTGGTGCGATTTCTGGATTTCGCAACCATCCACAGTAGGACCCCGAAACCACGAGACATCGCCCGAGGTGGTGCTCGCTGGCTGCTGGCATCGCCTGCAGCTGCTGCAGGGAGCTGATTACCTCCACCTCCCCGTCGCAGCGCAAGAGCACTGCGTCGGGCGCCTCTGGGAGCGACCCGGGGCCCACGCCACGCGGCGGAGAAATCATGGGTTTCTGCGGTGAAATTTGGTAGCTTCAGCACTTGACAAGGGTTCCCCTTAATATGTGGCTAGCCACATATATATATATATATATTAGCAGAATTTGAGCCTGGAACCAGTTGTTTCCTTTGTCACAGAAATGAGCTTGAAACCATTTGTTTTCCACATTTGTTTTCCACAATTGACAGTTTGGAGACTGGACAAGTAAGTTGCCGAACAGCAACTGGCGCCAGGGACACTAAAGTGACTAATCCAATCTTGTCCACAGGGCATGCCCTCCAAAATTGGCAAAGCCAACCTGTAGATGGCATATCTGCTCGGGCTGTTTAAGGCTGGAGGTGTGGCCTACATGCCACCTCATGCCCCAGGTATTACCTGCCCGAATTGCGCTCCCGGACAAAACAAAACAGTGGCAAACAAAGGCGGTTTGTTGTTGGTACCCGTTGAAGAGAAACCACCCCCCAAACCCAAACAACAACTTGAAAAGAAGGAAACACGTGATTTAAGAGGGAACCCGGAAACCCTCCAGGTAAGCACGAGTTGAACACGAGGAACGACCACTTCCAGGGTTGCTCCGCGCAGAATGATCAAACCCCAAGGGTGGAATTTGGTTCCCTGCCGAGGTCTTTGGAGCCATCTATCGTATGAAGTCCAGTCAAGCCAGCCCGGACAGCATTCATCAAGTTGAACTAGCTTTGAAACCATGTGAGGAGCCATAGAAAACATACCCTGTGGATCCCAGTTAACACTATAGGCATTCTTGTCTTGTTGTTTAAAGGGTGGTTCCCTTGGTTTCCTCCCAGCCTTCGCTCACTCACTCCCCTTGGTCACCCTTCTGGCACGACTGGGATCGAGCCTGGGATAGGCTTCGATTTGAAAACTTGGCCCATTTCACCAGCAAAATAACACAACACCAGGACCCCTCCACTCAGGTTCCAGTAGGTTCTCCCATTTCACAATTGTCAAAACCAGGACCCCCCCGCTCAGGAAAACGTAAGAGGAACCCCCCCCCCCCCGCTCAGGTTGACGGAAGAGGTACCCCCCCGTAGGTTTTCTGAAAAGAACAAAAATGACGGAAGAGGTAGCCCCCCCCCCGTAGGTTTTCCGAGAAAAAAACTCACGTCTCTCCGCTCGAAACGCGACGCCCAGCGCTGCGCAAAGCGATCGCCTGGAAGCAGCTCCGCAGCTCCGCCAGCTGCGGCCCAAAGTCCAGCTGCAAGCTGAAGGCCCAGAGCCGGCCCCGGCCCTCGAAATACACCTCGCGTGCACAACAACAAAGCCACGCGGACGCAGAAGGGGTGGATTTATGTTTGTGGATGCTTCTTGCAAAACAACTAGTACCAGCATCATCGTTGAAACTTTATGTATCCTTCTTATTGTCAGTATTGATGTCATCTTGGTGGAGTACAGTTGATTAACAGAAACCACAAGACAGGCTTCCTTTTATTAAACGTCACGCACACACTCAAAGAGCTCTTAGTGCCTTTGTTTGAACAAGACCCCCTTTGATTTTCTCCTGTTCCTTTCTAAACCAGCCAGCTCGAGTGGGTCACGGCCCTTGCTATTCTAGCTGTATCCTCCCCATTCTCTTCAAAGAATGGGCCATACCCTGAAAAATAGGCGATTGCTAACGAGAAGGGGTGAACAGAATGGAAAAGGAATCAAACCTTCGAGCTATGGCTTAGAACGACTCGAGAACCACAAGACAGGGATGCCGAATTTTGCAAAGGGAAGTATTGCTGGGGAAGGCTTTCGGAAGGAACCTTGGCATCCGTCTTAAAAGCAAGCACGCCCTCATTCACTGAGAACTCGCGACATGGTTATGGGGAATTAACTGCCATTGCAATACCAAAGTGGACCATCCTTATGACTTTGACACTTTCAAGGGGCTTGATATAACAGAAAGCGCCATTCCTCAAAACCAGATTGTATAAAAAAGAGGTAATGAGGTCAGCGCTTTTGTACTCCTTATCGTTTTGCAGTGTTTTGGCTTTCAGCTATATAACCCAGTCCGACTCTGCTAGATTCAGGCCCCAAGCCAACGCAAGTAAAGTGAGGAGCGAAAAGCGGCAGCAACCTGTTCACTCCAAATCGGCTACGCTGTCTCAATCCGTTGAACTGCTTCCAGAACTGAAGGAAGACGGGTCCTCACGAGCATCAAACTGCTTGTGTCCAGGCGCTGGCGGACATACACAACATCCTTCTGGCAAAACTGGGGCCCCATCTCATGGCCCCACAGGCCCGCATGGCGCTTGGGCCCAATGCCTGAAGCCCGAACTGAGCCATCAACTCGTGTCTTACCAATTGCGATTGTGGTTTACTCCTTTTCGTGGAGGATTTGTAAACAAGGCGGCCCACTCAAGTAGAAATGGCCCTCTTTCGTCCAAACCCATCGGCCCATGTCTCACCATGTCCCGAGGTTCAAACCTCCCAGAGAGCAATGGGGGGTTCATATCACCCATCAATTTTTGCCTAAGGAGTTTCATCGTCTAACTTGGGAAGGAGCCCTAGGCCAGCAACTTGGGAGTTACACCTGTGCTCAAGGCTATCGCGGTCCGAGGCTCCGTGTGCTCCAGCGCAAAGACGTCGCTCTCGATGCTCTCGCTGGGCGCCTAAAAGGACATACTGAATGGACTGGGTGTGCATTGAAAACATACGTAGGGATGGAGCGGGTTAGAACAAAAGGGTTAGAGCAAAACCAGGGGTTGACACAGACATGGAGCCGAATAAAATAGGGCACCTGGAGACAATGTCAAAGTGGATACTGGCAGTTCTCGGTGTGAACGCAGATGAGCACGTGGGTTGTGGGCACAACTTGTGCTGTATAATGGGCCTGAAAACAATACAACGATCACGCATTCTCTTTCTTGGTTTCCTTCAGGCAGAATTGAAGGCTATTTGGTCTCACCCGGGTACTCACATTTTTACGCTTGGACGGCCAAAAGTCGAAACTGATTAGTTGCCACTTAAAATGATCTTCCCGAAAAGTATTTTCACGCCAGCACCTCTTGTGTTGGAGTTTCACTCGCCCAGTCCGCGAGACCACTGGAACCTGAAAACGGACACACAATCGGGTCTATCGCTGGCGCTTTTCAGGACTCGCTTCACGGGTGTGAATTTGAATGGGACCACCGTTGGCACTTCGACAGGCAAATGTGGTTGGTGGTTCCTCCTAAAATTCATGGCATGACTTTTGGAGGGTTAAATGGATCCCAACCACTAAACCAACTAAAAACACCCAAAAACCTAAAAACCTAAATCTTAAGGAACGGGACGTGGCGGGGAGCCCGAACCGCCAAGTCAAGTGGCACCCAACTCCGACCACGACTCGTTGCGCCTCGCTTCGGGGGACTTCGAGCTGGGCTTGGCCGGCGTCTTGGGCGGCACTCTGCAAGCCTGTGGCGCATCAACGACGGGGAAAAAGACGTGTCTTGTTGTTTGGAAAGGCCTGGATTCCCGGTGGGTTTCCCAACCACACGGGGTTCTCGAAACTTGCTTCTTCTTAAGATGTTTGGTTCGTATAAATGGACCCAAAAGGGGAAAACACGTTGTTGCAAAAAGAGGTTCACAAAAGGAGACTAAATGGAGGTGAACAACTTGATCCAAAATGGGAACCCTTTTGGAGGTTCACATCCGAAAGTGGAAGCCACATTTTGTGCTGCAAAAGGAAGCAAAGCACAGAAGCATATTGCGCCCAGCTTGCGACGTGAGAAAGCCCTCTAACTCACCTGGAACCCAAAAAGGCCGCCATTGCCAGAGGAGACGGAGGCTCCTTCGGGGCATCTCCCCCAAAAGGGCTGCTGGTCTCAACATCAAATTCAACCTCTCCGGTGGCTGGGCCCCGAAAGTGCTTCTCGTCCTTCAAAACCAGACCCAAAATCAAAAGCTGCATTCCCAGAAGCAACTAACCCACAAAGAGCAAGGTTCGAGTCGATCGAAAACAAACAATATCAGACAATGAGAAAGCTACGGGTGTTCGGACACCTTGTGTGTGTGGATAAAATGCTTGACATAGGCCATGGACAAGATGACCAGCATGTTACTCTATGGGCGTCCCCAAATTTTCTGTTTGGCTGATTGAGGGATATCGGATTTCGGAATAGTCAGTCCTTCCATTAGTTTTGTCTTAACTCTTAACCTTGTCGAGCGTTCACCTGAATAATTGTCCGAAAGAGCCCCCTTCAAGAGACGATGTGACTTGTCACCTTAAAAGAACACCAACAAGCTGTAGCTCTGCCCTTGTTGTGTTTGGGAGGAATGCCACATCCTGCCGCAGAGCTGCATTGGTGACACACGTTGTACTTGCAGTTCTTGGTGCATCGCCAGAACGTGGACACGGAACCGATGCCGGTGCCGCACACGTGGCAGGTCCTCTTGTCCTCTCACAGCAAAGCTGTGCATCGGATGCATCTTAGCTATTTTATTGTGGATGGATAATTTCAATTTGGGATGGATGAACCCCTATAAAACCAAAAAAAGCAAGCTGGGGTAAACCACCTACCAACTGGTGAAGGAATTTGACCGTCCAGTACTACATTCAATTCTGCTGTTGAACGCTGCTCAAACCGCCTAACGGTAGAAAAGCTCACTGGCCGTGGCTCTTCAGCTTTGTCTTCCTTTAAGCGCCTCTGCGTTGACCGCCTTGAAACAAAGAGCTGCCCAAAGAACTTCGATCGCCGGATTCCTCGAAGGCAACTCTTTGCCATGTGTGAATGGACCGAGGGTGTCCTGGCTCCTTGGGTCCGCGAGCGCTCTCTCTCGCTCTCTGAACAAACGGGGTATTCCAAAACCGTCTTGCTTTCTGACCGGACTTGCACCAAAAATGTCCAACCTGGATCTTCCAAATCATGGAAATTTCACGTAAAATCCGGAGACTACCAGTTTTTTGAGGGTCTCAGTGAAAAAACACAGAGTTTTCAAACTCCTGGTTTTTGGGGTAAAACTCCTAGACATTGATTGTCGATTCTGGAAATTGTTTGCACACCTGAAACCCCTAGAAATCGCAATTATTCGGTACTTGACGGAAGGAACTCTCCAATTCAGACATATTCTGAATCAGAATCATTCACCTGAATCAGAATCGTTCACCTGAATCAGAATTATTTATTCAGAATTCAGAATTATTCTGAATTCGGAATTATTGCCTTTGGGCGACAAATTGGCAAAACCGGAAAGCACCACACCTGAAACTCAGCGCAAAACACCCGCAAAAAGCCCGCAAACTCCCGCAAAAACCCGCAAACTCCCGCAAATCAAAAAAAGACAGAGTTTCCGGAGTGTGCGTAGTAAAATTAGTGGAATACCCACTCCAGTGCAGAGTTGCATAATTGCTGGGATAGTGTAAAGAGTTGCACAATTGCGCGCCCAAACAACGAAAAAAGACAACAAGACTTGAATCCAATTGTTCCCCCAAGAGCCACTCCTAGTTTTTGATGTTCACTCCTGCCTTTTGCAAGCCACTCCTGCTTTTTGATTCCTGCATTTGAAACACCTGAAACTCCTAGTTTTGAGAGGGTCTCCTGGAAATATCCCGGAGAACGGAAAAACAGAGAAATAACCCGGAGACGTGGTCTTCCCAACAACTCAGGCATCTAATATTTCAAGAACTGGGGGAGTGAGCTTTCGGTCGGTTCAACCCTGTGCAAATAACCCACTTACGCCTGTTGGAAAGTCCCCTAAGTAGGTCAGATACTACCCATTGAATAGCCTGTCCCCTCTGCCCTGCAAATTCACGTGGAACCCAGAAAGTGACTATAACCAGAGTTAGTAAGGCCCCAAAACCGTCCTGAAAGACTTGCCATTGGCTTTCCCTCCGCCCAGATTTCTCTCCGATCTGGTCAAGGAGCAACCCTGGGGTTGAGAACCAGAGTTGCCAAGCCGGGAACCTGGATATCTTTCGACTGAACCTCAAAAGATCCTCGAAATCATCCTTGCAACATCGCGAAGAATTACCTACGATATATAGCTGCAAGGTCTACTGTGTTCGGTTGTCCCACCAATGTCTTCTCCACCCTTTTCCCAGGGTACCCTCAGCCAATGGCGCAAACCATTGTTGTTTTTCCATAAACCTCCAAGCCTCCATGCTCCGAAGCCCCCTTTCACAAAAAACACAAATCCAAACCTCAACGCTCAGAAGCTCCCCCCAACAAAAATTACACGGCTCCTGGAAGAATTTCGCCGGCTCCCCCCTCCGAGTGATGGGGTGGCCATCTGGGCACTGCAGCGCCTTCAGCGCTGTGGCCGGAACAGCTGCTGAGCCTAACCTAGCGGAGGCGGCCCCAGCCTCTGCGGCCCCAGCTTCTGCGCTCGCTATGGTTTCGGTTTTCCCTTCAAGGGACGTGTGGTGAATTCACTTTACTTGTCCGGAGGCATATATTTTTTTGCCCTTCAAGGGACGTGTGGTGAATTCACTTTACTTTTCCGGAGGCATGTTTTTTTGCCCTTCAAGGGACGTGTGGTGAATTCACTTTACTTTTCCGGAGGCATGTTTTTTGCCCTTCAAGGGACGTGTGGTGAATTCACTTTACTTTTCCGGAGGCATGTTTTTTGCCCTTCAAGGGACGTGTGGTGAATTCACTTTACTTTTCCGGAGGCATGCTTTTTGCCCTTCAAGGGACGTGTGGTGAATTCACTTTACTTTTCCGGAGGTGTGTTTTTTTGCCCTTCAAGGGACAGGTTGTGAATTCACTTTACTTTTCCGGAGGTATGCTTTTTTGCCCTTTAAGGGACGTGTGGTGAATTCATTTTACTTTTCCGGAGGTATGTTTCTTTGCCCTTCAAGGGACGTGTTGTGAATTCACTGTACTTTTCCGGAGGTGTGTTTTTTTTGCCCTTCAAGGGACGTGTGGTGAATTCACTTTACTTTTCCGGAGGCATGCTTTTTGCCCTTCAAGGGACGTGTGGTGAATTCACTTTACTTTTCCGGAGGTGTGTTTTTTTGCCCTTCAAGGGACAGGTTGTGAATTCACTTTACTTTTCCGGAGGTATGCTTTTTTGCCCTTTAAGGGACGTGTGGTGAATTCATTTTACTTTTCCGGAGGTATGTTTCTTTGCCCTTCAAGGGACGTGTTGTGAATTCACTGTACTTTTCCGGAGGTGTGTTTTTTTGCCCTTCAAGGGACGTGTGGTGATTTCACTTTACTTTTCCGGAGGTATGTTTTTTGCCCTTCAAGGGACGTGTGGTGAATTCACTGTACTTTTCCCGAGGTATGCTTTTTTGCCCTTCAAGGGACGTGTGGTGAATTCACTTTACTTTTCCGGAGGCATGTTTTTTTGCCCTTCAAGGAACGTGTGGTGAATTCACTGTACTTTTCCGGGGGAATGTTTTTTGCCCTTCAACGGACGTGTGGTGAATTCATTTTACTTTTCCCGAGGTGTTTTTTGACCTTCAAGGGACGTGTGGTGATTTCACTTTACTTTTCCGGAGGCATGTTTTTTGCACTTTAAGGGACGTGTGATGAATTCACTTTACTTTTCTGGAGGCATGTTTTTTTGCCCTTCGCTTTTCCCGAGTTGTGTTTTTTTGCCCTTCAAGGGACGTGTGGTGATTTCACTTCACTTTTCCGGAGGCATGTTTTTTTGCCCTTCAAGGGACGTGTGGTGAATTCACTGTACTTTTCCCGAGGTATGCTTTTTGCCCTTCAAGGGACGTGTGGTGATTTCACTTTACTTTTCCGGAGGTATGTTTTTTTGCCCTTCAAGGGACGTGTGGTGAATTCACATTACTTTTCCCGAGGTATGCTTTTTTGCCCTTCAGGGGACGTGTGGTGAATTCACTTTACTTTTCCCGAGGTATGCTTTTTAGCCCTTCAAGGGACGTGTGGGGAATTCACTTTACTTTTCCCGAGGTATGTTTTGTGCCCTTCAAGGGACATGTGGTGAATTCACTTTACTTTTCCCGAGGTATGCTTTTTTGTCCTTCAAGGGACGTGTGGTGAATTCACTTTACTTTTCCGGAGGTATGTTTTTTTGCCCTTCAAGGGACGTGTGGTGAATTCATTGTACTTTTCCCGAGGTATGCTTTTTTGCCCTTCAAGGGATGTGTGGTGAATTCACTTTACTTTTCCCGAGGTATGTGTTTTTGCCCTTCAAGGGACGTGTGGTGAATTCACTTTACTTTTCCCGAGGTATGTTTTTTTGCCCTTCAAGGGACGTGTGGTGAATTCACTGTACTTTTCCCGAGGTATGCTTTTTTGCCCTTCAAGGGACGTGTGGTGAATTCACTTTACTTTTCCCGAGGCATGTTTTTTTGCCCTTCAAGGGACGTGTGGTGAATTCACTTTACTTTTCCCGAGGTATGCTTTTTGCCCTTCAAGGGACGTGTGGTGAATTCACTTTACTTTTCCGGAGGTATGTTTTTTTGCCCTTCAAGGGACCTGTTGTGAATTCACTTTACTTTTCCGGAGGGATATTTTTTGCCCTTCAAAAGACGTGTGGTGAATTCATTGTACTTTTCCGGAGGTATGTTTTTTTGCCCTTCAAGGGACGTGTTGTGAATTCACTTTACTTTTGCGGAGGTATGTTTTTTTGCCCTTCAAGGGACGTGTTGTGAATTCACTTTACTTTTCCGGAGGTATGTTTTTTGCCCTTCAAGGGACGTGTTGTGAATTCACTTTACTTTTCCGGAGGTATGTTTTTTTGCCCTTCAAGGGACGTGTGGTGAATTTACTCTACTTTTCCGGAGGTATGCTTTTTTGCCCTTCAAGGGACGTGTTGTGAATTCACTTTACTTTTCCCGAGGTATGTTTTTTGCCCTTCAAGGGACGTGTGGTGAATTCACTTTACTTTTCCCGAGGTATGCTTTTTTGCCCTTCAAGGGACGTGTGGTGAATTCACTGTACTTTTCCTGAGGTATGCTTTTTGCCCTTCAAGGGACGTGTGGTGAATTCACTTTACTTTTCCGGAGGTATGTTTTTTGCCCTTCAAGGGACGTGTTGTGAATTCACTTTACTTTTCCAGAGGCATGTTTTTTGCCCTTTAAGGGACAGGTGATGAATTCACTTTACTTTTCCGGAGGTATGTTTTTTTGCCCTTCAAGGGACGTGTTGCGAATTCACTTTACTTTTCCGGAGGAATGTTTTTTGCCCTTCAAGGGACGTGTGGCGAATTCATTGTACTTTTCCGGAGGTATGTTTTTTGGCCCTTCAAGGGACGTGTGGTGAATTCACGTTACTTTTCCTGAGGTATGCTTTTTTGCCCTTCAAGGGACGTGTTGTGAATTCACTTTACTTTTCCCGAGGTATGTTTTTTACCCTTCAAGGGACGTGTGGTGAATTCACTTTCCTTTCCCGAGGTATGCTTTTTTGCCCTTCAAGGGACGTGTGGTGTATTCTTTTTTTGCCCTTCAAGGGACGTGTTGTGAATTCACTTTACTTTTCCCGAGGTATGTTTTTTGCCCTTCAAGGGACGTGTGGTGAATTCACTTTCCTTTCCCGAGGCATGCTTTTTGGCCCTTCAAGGGACGTGTGGTGAATTCAATTTACTTTTCCGGAGGTATGCTTTTTTTGCCCTTCAAGGGACGTGTGGTGAATTCACTTTACTTTTCCCGAGGCATGCTTTTTGGCCCTTCAAGGGACGTGTGGTGAACTCACTTTACTTTTCCCGAGGTATGCTTTTTTGCCCTTCAAGGGACGTGTGGTGAATTCACTTTACTTTCCCCGAGGTATGTTTTTTTGCCCTTCAAGGGACATGTGGTGAATTCACTTTACTTTTCCCGAGGTATGTTTTTTTTGCCCTTCAAGGGACGTGTGGTGAATTCACTTTACTTTTCCCGAGGTACGCTTTTTTGCCCTTCAAGGGACGTGTTGTGAATTCACTTTACTTTTCCGGAGGTATGTTTTGTTGCCCTTCAAGGGACGTGTGGTGAATTCACTTTACTTTTCCCGAGGTATGTTTTGTTTGCCCTTCAAGGGACATGTGGTGAATTCACTTTACTTTTCCCGCGGTATGTTTTTTTGCCCTTCAAGGGACGTGTTGTGAATTCACTTTACTTTTCCGGAGGTATGTTTTTTTGCCCTTCAAGGGACGTGTGGTGAATTTACTTTACTTTTCCGGAGGTATGCTTTTTTGCCCTTCAAGGGACGTGTTGTGAATTCACTTTACCTTTCCCGAGGTATGTTTTTTGCCCTTCAAGGGACGTGTGGTGAATTCACTTTACTTTTCCCAAGGTATGCTTTTTTTCCCTTCAAGGGACGTGTGGTGAATTCACTTTACTTTTCCCGAGGCATGCTTTTTTGCCCTTCAAGGGACGTGTGGTGAATTCACTTTACTTTTCCGGAGGTATGTTTTTTGGCCCTTCAAGGGACGTGTGGTGAATTCACTTTACTTTTCCCGAGGTATGCTTTTTGCCCTTCAAGGGACGTGTGGTGAGTTCACTTTACTTTTCCGGAGGTATGTATTTTTGCCCTTCAAGGGACGTGTGGCGAATTCACTTTACTTTTCCGGAGGAATGTTTTTTGCCCTTCAAGGGACGTGTGGTGAATTCATTTTACTTTTCCGGGGGTATGTTTTTTTGACCTTCAAGGGACGTGTTGTGAATTCACTTTACTTTTCCGGAGGAATGTTTTTTGCCCTTCAAGGGACGTGTGGTGAATTCATTTTACTTTTCCGGAGGTATGTTTTTTGCCCTTCAAGAGACGTGTGGTGAATTCATCTTACTTTTCCGGAGGTATGTTTTTTGCCCTTCAAGGGACGTGTGGTGAATTCACTTTACTTTTCCGGAGGTATGTTTTTTTGCCCTTCAAGGGGCGCGTTGTGACTTCACGTTACTTTTCCCGAGGTATGTTTTTTGCCCTTCAAGGGACGTGTGGTGAATTCACTTAACTTTTCCGAAGGATTTTTTTTGCCCTTCAAGGGACGTGTTGTGAATTCACTATACTTTTCCGGAGGTATGTTTTTTGCCCTTTAAGGGACGTGCAGTGAATTCATGTTACTTTTCCGGAGGTATGTTTTTTTGCTCTTCAAGGGACGTGTTGTGAATTCACTTTAATTTTCCGGAGGTATGCTTTTTGCCCTTCAAGGGACGTGTGGTGAATTCACTTTACTTTCCCCGAGGTATGTTTTTTTGCCCTTCAAGGGACATGTGGTGAATTCACTTTACTTTTCCCGAGGTATGTGTTTTTGCCCTTCAAGGGACGTGTGGTGAGTTCACTTTACTTTTCCCGAGGTATGTTTTTTTGCCCTTCAAGGGACGTGTGGTGAATTCACTGTACTTTTCCCGAGGTATGTTTTTTTTGCCCTTCAAGGGACGTGTGGTGAATTCACTTTACTTTTCCCGAGGCATGTTTTTTTGCCCTTCAAGGGACGTGTGGTGAATTCACTTTACTTTTCCCGAGGTATGCTTTTTGCCCTTCAAGGGACGTGTGGTGAATTCACTTTACTTTTCCCGAGGTATGTTTTGTTGCCCTTCAAGGGACGTGTTGTGAATTCACTTTACTTTTCCGGAGGGATATTTTTTGCCCTTCAAGGGACGTGTGGTGAATTCACTTTACTTTTCCCGAGGTATGTTTTGTTTGCCCTTCAAGGGACATGTGGTGAATTCACTTTACTTTTCCCGAGGTATGTTTTTGTTGCCCTTGAAGGGACGTGTTGTGAATTCACTTTACTTTTCCGAAGGTGTGTTTTTTGCCCTTCAAGGGACGTGTTGTGAATTCACTTTACTTTTCCGGAGGTATGTTTTTTTGCCCTTCAAGGGACGTGTTGTGAATTCACTTTACTTTTCCGGAGGTATGTTTTTTGGCCCTTCAAGGGACGTGTTGTGAATTCACTTTACTTTTCCGGAGGTATGTTTTTTTGCCCTTCAAGGGACGTGTTGTGAATTCACTGTACTTTTCCGGAGGTATGCTTTTTGCCCTTCAAGGGACGTGTTGTGAATTCACTTTACTTTTCCCGAGGTATGTTTTTTGCCCTTCAAAGGACGTGTTGTGAATTCACTTTACTTTTCCGGAGGTATGCTTTTTTGCCCTTCAAGGGACGTGTGGTGAATTCACTTTACTTTTCCCGCGGTATGCTTTTTGCCCTTCAAGGGACGTGTGGTGAATTCATTGTACTTTTCCGGAGGTATATTTTTTTGCCCTTCAAGGGACGTGTTGTGAATTCACTTTACTTTTCCCAAGGTATGCTTTTTTGCCCTTCAAGGGACGTGTTGTGAGTTCACTTTACTTTTCCGGAGGTTTGTTTTTTGGCCCTTCAAGGGGCGTGTTGTGGATTCACTTTACTTTTCCGGAGATATATTTTGTGGTGTGAATTAACATTACTTTTCCGGAGGTGTGTTTTTTTGCCCTTCAAGGGACGTGTTGTGAATTCACTTTACTTTTCCCGAGGTATGCTTTTTGCCCTTCAAGGGACGTGTGGTGAATTCACTTTACTTTTCCGAAGGAATTTTTTTGCCCTTCAAGGGACGTGTTGTGAATTCACTATACTTTTCCGGAGGTATGTTTTTTGCCCTTTAAGGGACGTGTGGTGAACTCATGTTACTTTTCCGGAGGTATGTTTTTTTGCTCTTCAAGGGACGTGTTGTGAATTCACTTTACTTTTCCGGAGGTATGTGCTTTTGCCCTTCAAGGGACGTGTGGTGAATTCACTTTACTTTTCCGGAGGTATGTTTCTTGCCCTTCAAGGGACGTGTTGTGAATTCACTTTACTTTTCCGGAGGTATGTTTCTTTGCCCTTCAAGGGACGTGTGGTGATTTCATTTTACAAGTTATGTTTTTTTGCCCGTCAAGGGACGTGTTGTGAATTCACTTTACTTTTCCGGAGGTATGTTCTGTTGCCCTTCAAGGGACGTGTTGTGAATTCACTTTACTTTTCCGCAGGTATGTTCTGTTGCCCTTCAAGGGACGTGTTGTGAATTCAGCTTACTTTTCCGGAGGTATGTGCTTTTGCCCTTCAAGGGACGTGTTGTGAATTCATTTTACTTTTCCGGAGGTATGCTTTTTTGCCCTTCAAGGGGCGTGTTGTGAATTCACTTTACTTTTCCGGAGGTATGTTTTGTTGCCCTTCAAGGGACGTGTTGTGAAATCACTTTACTTTTCCCGAGGTATGTTTTGTTGCCCCTCAAGGGACGTGTTGTGAATTCACTTTACTTTTCCGGAGGTATGTTCTGTGGCCCTTCAAGGGACGTGTTGTGAATTCACTTTACTTTTGCGGAGGTAAGCTTTTTTGCCCTTCAAGGGACGTGTTGTGAATTCACTTTACTTTTCCGGAGGTATGTTTTTGCCCTTCAAGGGACGTGTTGTGAATTCACTTTACTTTTCCGGAGGTATGCTTTTTTGCCCTTCAAGGGACGTGTGGCGAATTCATGTTACGTTTCCGGAGGTACGTTTTTTGCCCTTCAAGGGACGTGCTGTGAATTCACCTTACTTTTCCGGAGGTATGTGTTTTTGCCCTTCAAGGGACGTGTTGTGAATTCGCTTTACTTTTCCGGAGGTGTGTTTTTTGCCCTTCAAGGGACGTGTTGTGAATTCATTTAACTTTTCCGGAGGTATGTTTTTTTGCCCTTCAAGGGACGTGCTGTGAATTCACTTTACTTTTCCGGAGGTATGTGTTTTTGCCCTTCAAGGGACGTGTGGTGATTTCTCTTTACTTTTCCGGAGGTATGCGTTTTGCCCTTCAAGGGACGTGTGGTGAATTCACTTTACTTTTCCGGAGGCATGTTTGTTTGCCCTTCAAGGGACGTGTTGTGAATTCACTTTACTTTTCCGGAGGTATGTTTTTTTGCTCTTCAAGGGACGTGTTGTGAAGTCATTTAACTTTTCCGGAGGTGTGTCTTTTGCCCTTCAAGTGACGTGTTGTGAATTCACTTTACTTTTCCGGAGGTATGTTTTTTTGCCCTTCAAGGGACGTGTTGTGAATTCACTTTACTTTTCCGGAGGTATGTATTTTTGCCCTTCAAGGGACGTGTTGTGAATTCACTTTACTTTTCCGGAGGTATGTTTTTTGCCCTTCAAGGGACGTGTGGTCAATTCATGTTACTTTTCCGGAGGTATGTTTTTTTGCCCTTCAAGGGACGTGTTGTGAATTCACTTTACTTTTCCGGAGGTATGTGTTTTGCCCTTCAAGGGACGTGTTGTGAATTCACTTTACTTTTCCGGAGGTATGTTTTTTTGCCCTTCAAGGGACGTGTCGTGAATTCACTTTACTTTTCCGGACATCTGTTTTGTTGCCCTTCAAGGGACGTGTCGTGAATTCACTTTACTTTTCCGGACATCTGTTTTGTTGCCCTTCAAGGGACGTGTTGTGAATTGATTTTACTTTTCCAGAAGTATGTTTTTTGCTCGTCAACGGACGTGTTGTGAATTCACTTTACTTTTCCGGAGGTATGTTTTTTGCCCTTCAAGGGACGTGCTGTGGATTCACTTTACTTTTCCGGAGGTATGTTGTTTTGCCCTTCAAGGGACGTGTTGTGAATTCACTTTACTTTCGGAGGTATGCTTTTTTGCCCTTCAAGGGACGTGTTGTGAGTTCACTTTACTTTTCCGGAGGTTTGTTTTTTGGCCCTTCCAGGGACGTGTTGTGGATTCTCTTTACTTTTCCGGAGATATATTTTGTGGTGTGAATTAACATTACTTTTCCGGAGGTATGTGTTTTTTCCTCTTCCAGGGGCGTGTTGTGAATTCATTTGACTTTTCCGGAGGTATGTGCTTTTGCCCTTCAAGGGACGTGTTGTGAATTCACTTTACTTTTCCGGAGGTATGTTTTTTTGCCCTTCAAGGGACGTGTTGTGAATTCACTTTACTTTTCTGGAGGTATGTTTTTTTGCCCTTCAAGGGACGTGTTGTGAATTCATTTTACTTTTCCGGAGGTATGTTTTTTTGCCCTTCAAGGGACGTGTTGTGAATTCACTTCACTTTTCCGGAGGTATGTGTTTTTGCCCTTCAAGGGACGTGTTGTGAAATCACTTTACTTTTCCGGAGGTATGTTGTTTTTCCCTTCAAGGGACGTGTTGTGGATTCACTTTACCTTTCCTGAGTGTTGTGAATTCACTTTCCTTTTCCCGAGGTATGTTTTTGTCGCCCTTCAAGGGACATGTTGTGATTTTTTTTCTTTTCCGGAGGTATGCTTTTTTGCCTTCAAGGGACGTGTTGTGAATTCACTTTACTCTTCCGGAGGTATGTTTTTGTTCCGGTGGTTGTTTTGGATTGTTTCTTCTAAAAGGGGTGTAATGTCCAATATTCCTGCAAAGTTCACCTCTCCAGTTACATCCCCTTTCATAAGGGGGGTTGCCCATCGTCTCCTGAGCTGTTCAATCTCACATCCCCGCTACTTTGTTGAAGCAATACAGAGGTGGAAAGGCTCTCTACGACCTGGCAAGGCTCAAAAACACCACAGGGTGGACTCAACAAACAGCAGCGGGACTTGTAGACCAGCAAGAACCTCAAGCAAGTGCAAACACACTTGGATGCTTGCACGTTTATAAGGATACTTATAGCGGGGAACACATCAATCGTACGGCTTGTTTTCCTGAAGCTGCAGATCTCACTGAATTCGTCTTGCCCACTTGTCGCTCATACCGTTTATACAACCTCTTTGGAACCAGCACATCTTACCCCACTGTATCGCTGTTACTGACCATGGTGCTTGATCCCTATCAGAAAACCACGAGGGCACCAAATGCCTTCACAACCGACAAGTCTTACGGATTGCCGTTTCAGAGCCCTTGTTGTGGCAAAGCAACTACTGCAAATGCCCAATGAATTGGTCGTTGTTTGCCTCTTGTCCAGATATGTGTTGCTTCTGACGGTGCCCCCAGTTTAGCTAGAATAGTGCGCAACTGGACGCACAGGGAAGCCTCCAAAAGCCTTGACAGGTTTAAACTAATACTCTTTGGCCCCTCACTAACCATGTGTCCAGATTGGAACGAACCAACAAGTTGAAAACCATAAAAGACAAGAACAAGCAGGGTTTCTTGGGAAAGTCCAATCCTTCGGGACCTGCACAACCCACCCGAGGATTGGCGAAAATTCACCGAGCTGTCGCTAGGTGGGGGAAAACAACAAAAGGCCTTAACATAAAACATCATGCCCTGAGATACTTATTGGTTCAATAGCAGCCCAAACCCGCATCCAAACGACTTTGGTCCTTCAAACCCTTTGGTTTCCGGCGGTTTTTTCGGGCCCGATCCGACTCCAGGGTTTAGCAGATGCCAGGCCACTTGCGCTTCGCCGCCGCCTCCTCATCTGCCTTGAGCTGCAAGTAGGAGATGCCGGCCTCCACGCTCTCAAAGGGAAGCTCCTTCCTGGCGGGAAGGCCAGGAAAACCAGCCTAAAGCAGGCTTAAACCCAACCCCTGCCCCCCAAAAGTTTCTGTCTTTGGCTTGATTCCTTCCGGAAACTGCCGCTGGCCTACAGAAGCCAACCACTTTCGTCTGCAACAGGGCAGAGTTTCTGTCTTTGGCTTGATTCCTTCCAGAAACTGCCGCGGCCTAAGCCTACCTACCCAACACAGTGGAACGTCTGGATGGGGCGAAGGGAAAATAGGAGGGGTACCCGAGAGTTGTCAACTCAGGGAACCGGTGACCTTCATAACCCTAAGGGTCCAGCGTACGTTCTTAGAATGTACATTGAAGTTGCGACCATGCTGAGGGACATTTCTGAGCCCCGACCGTGCTAGTGAACTTTTGGGGGCCCAGGGTTTGAGAAGCACACTCACGCCCGCCTGCCGCGGGCCATTTTTTCTCAAGTCCCCACAGCTCAGCCGACAAGCTGTGTTCGGCTCTCAGCTCAGTTTGCCCTTCAGCTATCGGAGTCTGAGAAGTCATCAAAATCCCCCCGCTGCATGTGGTTTTGAATCCTTAGACAAAGGCAAGGCCAAGTTTGCCTGACTACTTGCTCATGCCAGTGCAAAGGAAGGCTCCCCATGAAGTATCGGCGGAGAACCGCCCCTTCGAGCACATGCTTGTGGCAACCAGAAGCCAGCCCTCAGCGCGGCAGGTGTTGCTAAATTCTCATGTTTAAAGTTGACAAGTTCTTAGCCGCTGACCAGCCATCTTTCCCACGAAATCCTCCGTGGCAAAGCCGTGGTAAAATCGAGAACAAATTCCTGAGTGAGCCAGCGGGCTCTTCCAGCATGGGGCCAAGCTAAAAAAAAGATTGTCGAACTGCACATTTGTGACAGGCCTCGTTCCTGACACTGCCAGTAGTTAATTTCCTGCAGCCCCTTGGTTAACATTCGAGTCATCTATGAGGCGTGCAACGATGTGTTGGCACAGGATCTAAGCTGGGACACATGTAGCTTTGGTCGTACGGGGTAGCGCAGCTTCCCAGCTTGCACAGCTGAATCAGCAAGGGCCAGGTAGGCAGAAACGAAGCCATCCTGAAATAGATCAGGCCCCCTTCAAAGAACAAGCGTTCAATTGGTTGAGTTTGCATTCTGGCTAAGGCTCGCCCAAGGCTTGCATTTGCGTCGCCTGGCCGGGGCTGAGGTAGAGCTGGCAGCTCTCGCAGACCGCGTGCCACTGCGACAGGTGCCACCTGGGCAGAGTAACCACCCTGCGAGTTTCAAGGGTCAAGGCCACTCAGAAGTATATGATGTTTCAACTTGTCCGCAAGCGACAATGCAGAAGCGATAAGCCCCAAATTCTGATCTGCAGGGCCCTTCTCATTCGCAAGCTCCAGTGTGACTTCGGAAAGCCATGCGCAGACTATTCGAGCCTTGGATGTCAGAAACGCTAGTGCGTACAATGCCTCATTCAAATCAAGGAATTGCATAGTTTGCACCCAAGAAGCGTTAAATGCTTTTGCTTGCAATGTTGGATACGGCGAATGGTGGACTCGCAACTTGGCAGGCGTAAACTTCGGCTGCGACTGCCTCCGGCAAGTGCAAGAGAGTTTGTTGAAATCATGGATGGCTATTTGCTTGAGGCCAACTTCTTATAACAGCTAAAGGCGCGTGATCTTGTTTCTCCGACACCAGGCCAAATATTCTTCGTGAGCAATGCATAGGCGAGTCGTTGTGGATAGCCCTACACCTCCCCAAATGTTGTAGTCCCCTTCCAACAACTCCTCAAACACACCGCCCTCCAGCACCAACCCCACTCCGAGATTTATCACGTGCATTGAGCACCATTTCACCATTTGTGGTGAAAACGATGGAAGATCCGCTAGAGGGCCTTAAATGCGAGTCAAACAGATTCAGAGATGTCTCAAACCATCATGTGATATGCGCCACCTGTCAAAAATGCCAGGGGGCTAACTGGCCTTTTGCAGCACTCAGAAACGAAGCTGTCTCGGGTGTCTTGGCGTGGTATCCCTGCTAGCACGGCCGAAATATTGGCATAGTCCTCCTTCTTTGCGTCACAATGGAAACACATGGAACGGGAGTTCCAAGATCTCTGCAAGTTCAGCCACTCCTTGCGACAAAGGTCTACGGCCAATCATGACGCACGGGCCATGAATACAGTGCCCATCATGCGACTCAAGCTAAACTCCTTCTGAAATTTCCAGTCCCCTTGAATATGGCAAACCATCGCGTGGATGTCACCTTCTTCGCCTTGTCCAATTGGGACCCCTGAGTTCAGCAGCTTCAACGATTCGACAACCTTGGCTCGCAGGCGTCACGATGCAGGACGGGGCAGGGTGAAGGTGGTCTGAGCATGCAGTAAAGGGGCAGGCTGCAAAAACGCTTGCAGTGTAGGAAACCCCACACTGCATTCCTAGGCCAACGGTCAATCGTGGACATTGGGTTGCCCTGGACTTATGATTAATTGCGATGCTATTTTTGGTTGCCAAGGATCCGCCCTGTATACAAAAAGAGGCCAGCAGCATTCCCAGGACAAAGTTCTGGTGTCCAGTATCGCCCCCATGCATACCACAACCAGCTTTTGGCCCAACTCATTGTAAACGCAGTCATCACCCCACAACCAGCATGGATGGGCAAGAGGTTCGGAAGATGTCCGGGCATAGCTGCAGCCCACATCCCTCAAATGTTGCCAGAACTGTTTTACTTCATCTTCTGTGATTTCTGGGAAGACCCTGGATCTCACCAGCCATGGTAGGAGACGATGGGGAAGTACGACAGGCATTTTCCTGCACAATGAACTTGCTAACAAGCAAGTACATTGCAACAAACACGCCTGATTTCAGTACCGTTCACCCCTCGCTCTTTCTGGATGGGAACTTCCACCTCATCAATCGGAACCTCATGAAACACAACGACTCGCGATTTCTCAGGTTTAAAAACATGGCAGCTGAGGGGCCTGATCCGCGTTGTTTGATAGAACTTGTCTCATCATGTCCCTTTGGATGTTGCTTGAGTGGAGGCCTGATCTTCCAGCAGTCTTGAGTTTGGCGCATGGACCTCGAAGGCGAACGCCATGGAACCTGAACTCCTGGAGCACCAGCCCAGTGAAAGATCCGGGGCCCAACGACAATGTGGCATTAAACCCTGCCTTGGCCACCGCATGAAGGAAATCCCGGGAAGATTGGAAGGATTGATACTCAGCAAGCGTCATGTCAGTGGCGCTGCACGTGTGTGTGTGCCCAAATTCCAAATTCAGAAGTGGACAGTTCTTGTTGCGGCCAAGGGCTCTCCAAGGCCAGTCCTTTCCAGAAGGTACGAGTAGAGAGGCGATGTCTTCTCTTGGGACAGGTTCCGGGCACCTGCGCACGGAACCACAACACAAACTAATTTCGGTGTCGAATCGACCAGATGCTGCGGCATGCGCGGATCTTTTGCGCCGGCGGCTTCCAACACGTTCACGGTGTATTCATGATTGAATACTGGAACTCCCCTGGTTGCATGATCAGCCCGTTCACTGGCCCGGAAGCCCATAAACCAGGTCCGAACAGTTGCGCGCTTGCCAAACTCGTTTTCTGAAGTGGCCATGGGCTCGCTAGTGGGCAGTGAGCAGGATCCAAAACTATATAGTCGCTGGAAAACCAACGAGCGCCATGTGTTCAAACTTGAGATGCAGCATCAGGCCCACGGTTGGAATCTAGAGGATTTCACAACACAATTTAATTTGAAAACATGCTGTTACTAGAAGCCGGGGCCCCTCCACACCCAGTGCCGGAGGACCACTCATGGTCGATCAGCTCATGCAGCAGCCTTTGCTTTGGGCTTAGCCTTCGGCTTCGGCGGTGCCTGAGCTAGCCAAAAAAACGAGGCTTGACCCCCGACACAAAACAGGGAAGGGGTTTGGGATGGGGCTAGAATACATGTCTTCCCCAAATTTTGAGTCCCTGGAAATGAGGTCCACCCAGTTTAAAGGTCCCAAGACTTGCAATGTGACTAAGGAGGCGAGGTCCACACAAACAAGGAAGCTTGTAGTGTTGAAAAAGCACGCAGCTTGATTTTGCCACCATATTTTGGTTAGAGTGCGATGGCAACCTTGATAGTCTTCAGGGAACCTGCCAGCTTGTCAGCAGCCGAGTCTGCACTCCTGAGAGCCACATAGTATTCGTCCCTGCGAACTTGGCATTTGTTGATCTCATCCTCATCGATTTTGGCGTAGAGTGTCTCAAGCCGGGTCTTGCATTCTTCAAGAGCCTTCTTGCATATATCAAGCTCAGAGTTGTAGCCACCCATCAGCTCAGGAGACCTGCTGATTGTTTCAGCTAGCGTTGATTGGGTCACTCAGTATTTAAATGACCTTCCACGTGAAGAAAACAAAATTTTGGATCCGTTGCTTTCAAGGGGCAATGAGGAGGTCTGTAGTTTGGTGTTCCAGCTCATGATGTCGGTGAGTTTGCTGCTGAGCGCCTGAATCTTGCCAGACACCAACTTCGACCATGTAGCGGGCTTTGGCTTTCGCTTGGCAGTCTTGCCATCGTCACCTGCGGATCCAGGTGCCTGGTTCACGCTCGGCGCGGGGCCCTGTGGGACCACTGCCGTTGACGAAGAGCCGTCACGCAGCCTTGACACGCCGAAAGCAGGCCTCCGACCAGGTTCAAACGGCAGGTGTTGGAGTCTTAAATATTTTTGAGAAATGCATTTTCGAGGTCTTGAAAACCACCTGTTAGTAACTTTATGTCAGGGAGCAGGATCTCAGCTGTTTGCTGCGCATCCAGGGAGCCAGAAGCGTTGATGCCACTCTCAATCTTGTCGACTTCTTTGTCCACATACTCCAAGCTGTCGAACACCC